AAGTTGGTCCACACAGACGCAACCTCATTCTTTTTAAGGGCTGCATATTATTCCATAGCTGGGAGGAACCATAATGTATCTAACCGTTTGCCAACCAAGCTCCAGCCACAGTTTAGGTTGTTTCCAATTTTTCACCCTTTAAACATAATGCTTTTATGAGCACCCATATATTTCATAAATCTATTTTGGAGGACCTCTTAGAGGGCATTGGTGCTTCAGTGGTAGAATTCACACCTTCCATGCAGGAGACCCAGGTTAGATTCCCAGCCAGTGCCCCTTGTGTGCAGCCACCACTTGTCTGTCAGCCGAGGCTTGTGTGTTGCTATGATGCTGAGCAGGTTTCAGTGGGGCTTCCAGACTAAGACAGACTAGTAAGAAAGGCCTGGTGATCTTTTCCAAAAAAGTCAGCTAATGAAAACCCTATGGATCACAATGGTCTGATCCCCAACTGATCGTGAATTTGGTGCAGGACCAGACAGCGTTTTGTTCCACTGAGCGTGTGGTCACCATGAATCAGAGACCAACTTGATGGCAGCTAACAATAACATTTCCAGGAATAGAACTGCTGTCAAACATATTTTGTACAACCCCATTTCGTTTTTTTTCTAAACGTGTATGAGTAGAGGTATTCTGGCAAGGTTTGTCTGTGCATGTATTCATTTATAAACCATGCTGAGCATCTCCTGTGGCAGATACCATGCTGGGGATACAGCTGTGGACAGAGTAGAGACCGTCTCTGCCCTTCTGGAAATGGCAGTCTTGTCAGGGAAAAGTCATTACCTTCTTGCTGACACTGGCTCTGGTTGTGTCTGAAAATGGACGAAGGAGACAGGACATGTTTTTATCAGACGATGCTGCCTGGTGAAGGTCCCTTTTAAATTGTCTGAGGGCAGTGATGCTCCCACCAGGGGAAGCCCTTTGTAAACTCCATGCAGGGGCCCCACAGGCTCAGAACCCCCTGCCCCGTGCCCAGGGAAAGCAGGAGGTCCTGGGTTGCTGGGGAGGAAGGGGAAGCAGCAGCTCCCCAGAACTCGGGCTGGGCTTGCCTCAGGGAGGGCGCGGGGACCAACTGTGTGTCATTGTGAAAGTTGATGGTTTCTGTTTTTCCCCTCACTTCTCAGGGAAGGAATCAGCAGGCCCTGTGTTGGGGAGTAGCCCTCTGCCTGCCTTCTAGAAGCCTCACCCTGGGTCTAAGCGGCAGTCCCTGTTCCCAAAAGATTTCCTGGGATGAGGTGCCAGCTGTTGGTGTTAGCGGGGAGCCAGTCTGCGCAGCAGGAAGGAGTGATCCTCATTCTCACCAGGAAGCCCAAGGAGCAGTGCCCTGCCCAGGGTCACTGGGCTGTCAGCCGCAGAGCCCGGTTCTCACTTGGGCTTCTTGGTTTCCCCCTCACCTTGTGGCAGCTGCTGGGTTCCACCTGTGAGATGACAGAGGTGACAGGGTACCCTTTCTCCCCTCATCAGCCAGACTGTCCCCATGTGGGCTCTTGTCAATTGAGGGAGCAACTGCTATCTAGTTAGCACTAACAGGGGCTCAGAGACCAGCTTTCCTGACCACTGCCAGGAGAGGACGAGTTCCCGGGACAACCTCAGTCGTAAACCAGTTGCCATCAGGTTGATTCTGATGCTTGGCAACCCCAGCTGTGTCACAGTAAAACTGTGCTCCATAGGGTTTTTAGTGGCTGATTTTTTGGAAGCAGATCTCCAGGCCTTTCTTCCAAGGCACCTCTGGGTGTATTTGAACCTCCAACCTTTTGGTTAGCAGCCAAGTGTGTTAACTGTTTGCACCACCCAGGGACTCTGCCTCAACATTGGCCCAGGTTAAAAATTAAAAGGCTAGGCTGGCTCCCATGCCCCTGGAATAATCTCTATCATCCCGTTTATGGAACATTTACTATGAGCCGGATTGGAGCTAAATGCTTGATGTGTGTCACATAATTAATGCTCGTGACAGCCCTACAAAGTAGTTCTACACTATCATCATGTCCACGTCACACATGGGAAAACCAAATGTTAGAGGTGTGTCGTGGTTCTGGCCCCTGCCTGTCTTCTGCCGTCCAGCCATGCTGTCCTCCTCGTGGTCCCCTCAGGCACCTCATTCCCACCTCAGGGCCTCTGTACTTGCTGTCTTGTTTGCCTAGAAATATCTACCCCCAGATCTTGACCCTCCATCCACCACCATCACTCTGTCCCTTTGCAAGGCTGTATCATCCCCTCAGAGCCCCTCTCACAACCAGGAATTCCATTGTTTATGTATGTGTTTGTTGAGTGCCTGCCACCCCACTGAGAATTCAGTCCACATGTGGTGGGAGAGTCTGGTTCATCTCTCTGTTCTCAGCACCTAGAACAGTGCCTGGGACATAATAGGTGCTCAATTAGTGTTGGTTGAATAAATGAATAGCTTGGAGGCACTTAGCTGTACTTCCTCGGGGTCTTTCCTTTCGAGACTGCCCTCTTTCCCCCTAATGTAGACTCTCATAGTTCTGCATGCCCATCCTTCCATCACTTTACAGTTTGTTGTACTGTTGTGGCTTGCACGTTGCTGTGATGGTGGGAGCTATGCCACTAGTGTTTGTAATATGAGCAGGGTTACCCATGGTGGACAGGTTTCAGCGGAGCTTCCAGACTAAGACAGGCTAGGAAGAAAGGCCTGGAGATCTACTTCTGAAAATTAGCCAATGAAAACCCTGTGGATCACAGAATATTGTCTGAGACTTTGACTCACTTATTTTGGACATGTCCTCAGAAGGGACCAATCACTGGAGAAGGACATCATGTTTGGTGAAGTAGAGGGCCGGTGAAGGTGAGGGAAAGCCTCAATGATATGAATTGACGCAATAGCTGCAACAATGGACTCAGATATACCAATGATCATAAGGATGATGCAGGGCCAGGAAACGTTTCAGTCTGTTGTACGTAAGTCAGAGCTATCTCAATGACCGCTAACAACAACACAGTTAAGAATAGATGTTGATTTGTGCTTATTTGATTACTACCTGCTTCCCCCACTAAACTCTGAGCTACCTGAGGGCAAGGGCTTAGTTTGCTTTGGTCCCCACTGTATTCTCTGCTCCTAGCCCCTGTCCTGCTCACAGTGGTGCTTGATGAGTATTTGAATGAATGGATGAATACATGCGGGAACCAATGAAATCGAGCAAAGACTGGAACCCAGTTCTCTCATGTTCACACCCATGCTCTTAACATTATGCTACGTCCTGGTTTAAAGTTTTGAGTCTGATAGAATCTCCTGAACACAGCCATCGTCATCCTGCTGTGGTTGGGGCCAGCTCATTTCACCACCAGGCAGAGGCTCCCAAAGCGGCTGGTGGTTTCTTGGGGCAAAGAAGTGCTTGCTTCAACAGAGCCTCACCGATTCTCTCACAGTGTCATTTCCTCCTGAAGTTAGTTTTTAGTTGAGATGGAGCATTGCCCCCGCAGACAGGAGCCCATTGCTATTGACTCGATTCTGACTCATAGCGACCCTGTAGGACAGAGTACACAGAGTAGAACTGCCCCATAGGGTTTCCAAGGCTGTAAATCTTTACAGAAGCAGACTGCCACATCTTTATCCTGCAGGTGGGTTTGAACTGCCGACCTTTCGGTTAGCAGTCAAGCGCTTAACCACTGTCCCGCCAGGGCTCCTCACAGACAGGAGCACTGGTGGAAATTTCTCTTTGCTTCTTTTAGCAGCAGGTGTGTGAAGGATAACTGGTGGTAGTGTTGAATGTGTGTTTAAAGATAAATTCTATTTATTTATTTTGTGTTAATCCTGTAAGTAATACATGTTTATCATAGCAAAGTTATGGAATTCAGAAATGTAAAAGAAACCTTGCCTAGTCTTACTACCCACAGACAACCATTTAAGCAATTTGGTGTATTTCCTCCAAGGCAGTTCAATGTATACTTTTGCCTTTTTCAGGGGCGAGAGGGGAGAGGAGAGAGGAGGCATAATTCTGACCATACAATATATTCAACTGTGTACCCTCGTTTTTCCTACTTTATAATATAAATATTTTACATGTCCTTAAAAATATCTCAAAAGCTAATTTTAATGACTACAAAGTATTCCATTACGTGGGGGCTTACAAACTTTTCTTAATTATTCCGTTCAATTGTTTACCCGTTAACCATGTGTTTCTTACCTCTTCGAATTTATCTGCTCTGTGTGTGTGTGTTTGATACACCATTTTTTTTAAATTGTTGCAAAAGTATATATAATACAACATTTGCCAGTTGGCAACATTTTGCAGGTGTAGAATTTAGTGGTATCAATTACATTAATCATGTTGATACACCATCTTAAATCCTTTTTGGAAAAGGCAAGGATATATTTATTGTATGTTATATGTAAAAAGTTTTAAAATCACTCCCTGATAGCTAAGCAGTTATAATGGTTTTTAATTTGTCAGTAGTATAAATGGCACTTTTTTGATGAGAATATTTATACATCAATTTTTTGTGTGTGTTTAGGATTATTTCATTAGCGTTAGAGGCTAGATTTGGAATGGCTGGGTCAAAAGAGTATAGATATTTTAGAGGTTTTTACTATTTCTTGGCCAAACTGCTGTCCTAATGTTTCTTGCCAGTTTTAACTCTCATTAAACCTAACCTGTTGCCGTTGAGTTGATTCTGACTCATAGTGATCCTATAGGACAGAGTAGAAGTGCCCCACAGGGTTTCCAAGGAGCAGGTGGTGGTTTCGAACTGCCGACCTTTTGGTTAGCAGCTGAGCTCTTAACCACTGCGCTACCAGGGCTCCTCAGCTCTCATTAGCAGATAGGCAAGTACCCATCTTAGCACATCCTTGCAGCAGTAGAGATTATTATTCGTATATATATTTTTTATTATTATATTTTAATGATTACTAATTTTCTTAGATAGAAAATGACATCCGTTAGTTGATTTGGATTGTATATACCTGAGTCTACATCATGGGCTTTTAACCCAGAGCCGTGGGTGGAAGAATGTCCATCAAATACTCTACCTGAGATTATGTCTTGCAGCTGACTTTGGTGTGTCTGCCAAGAATCTGAAAACTCTGCAGAAACGAGATTCCTTCATAGGAACGCCTTACTGGTGAGTTGTGGAGCTTCTGGAAATTGAGTGTTAGATCAAACTTTAAACCTAACACTCCCTCAGGTGACCTCCGGATGGTATAGAGGGAGAAAGGCCAGAGGGCAAGGGATTCCGCGTTGGAGGCCAACTTTCACCACTTCCTAGTGGTTTGACCTTGGACAAGTGGCTTAGCTTCCTTGGGCCTCCGTTTCCTCATCTGTAAAATAGGGAGAGAATAGCACCTACTTAATAGGGTTGTTGTGAGAATTAAATGAGATGATGCATATAGAAAATGCTTCATTAATAATAACTAAACTGGAATGTCTTTAAAAATGATTCAGTTATTGATATGTTCAACAGGTATTTAGTGAGTGTCAGGCACTGGGCTGAGAGTGGGGAGTACAAAGATGAACAATACAAGCTCGATTTCCACCCTCACTGAAGTCTCCCTGAACTTCTCTAGTTCTCTAGTGTTTTCGTTTTTTCTTTTCAATATTACTTTTTAAAACAACTCTTACTCAATTTCATGCCTAACTACTTTCTGTTTTGTCCTGTTTTCATAATTTTTTCGTGTGCATTACTTCCATTTTCCCAGTATAGAGTTTAGGTAGCTTTCTTGCTTGCTTATTACTTACACTTTATTTCTCTCTCTACCCTTTTATTTCTCTTTCTCCTTTTCTTTCTCCTCTCTTCTATGTCACTATATTCTTTCCAACTTCCCCTGCCCTCCCATTTTCCTTCACCCCTTCCCATCTGTCCCACCCCTCTCCCTAGGGCTCTGTGTTCTGGATTGTTGCTGCCACCTTGTGGTAGGCATTGGGAACTGCAGCAGGACAAGGAGGTGGAGCCACTTGGAAGGCATTTTTCTCTGTGAATTGAAGCCTGTGAGGAAGACAGTGGGATGTAAAGTAATGCAAATAATGATTCAGGAATTCCTCCAACACCCTAGCATTGTCTAGTGGTGGTTCTTGACATTGAATCTCCTAGAGGGGTCTGGGGAAGCCAGATTCTGAGCCTGTGTTGTCCCTTGGTTGGTTCAGGATGGCGCCTGAGGTGGTGATGTGTGAGACCATGAAAGACACCCCGTATGACTACAAAGCCGACATCTGGTCCTTGGGCATCACCCTGATTGAGATGGCCGAGATCGAGCCTCCACACCATGAGCTCAACCCCATGCGGGTCCTGCTCAAGATCGCCAAGTCAGACCCGCCCACACTGCTCACCCCTTCTAAGTGGTAAAGAGTCAGGGGACCTGCCGGAGGGATCAGCAGGCCGGGATGGGGTCAGCAGGCCAAGACAGGATCAGCAAGCCGGGACTGGGTCAGCAGGCTGGGACAGGGTCAGCAGGCTGGGATGGGGTCGGTGGAATTGGGAGAACTAGAGTTTAGGACTCTTCTGTCACTGTGAGGCCTCAAAGCATGAGAGAGATTGGGGCCGGGACTCTCCAGGTCTTTCCCCCATCACTGGGCCCTCCAAGCCTCTTTCCTCCCCGTTGTGCTCTCTACCTGGGCTCCCCATGAAAGCAAACCAGGTAACCCAAGTAAGCCAGAACCCACTGAGGAATAAGAGTCTAACCTGAGGACCAGCAGCCACATGACACAACCCTGGGCTGGGAATCGGGGGCTCAGGATTAGATCCCAACATTGCTTCACTGTGATTCACTATGTGACGTTGAGTAGATCCCTGCCCTCTCCAGTTCTTGTCACCCATCTGTGCAGTGCTTGGGTGGAAAAGGTCACTGTGAAGGCCTGTGGCCTCCACTTTTCAGCTTGTGAAGGAGCCCTTTGTCCCTTGGGATGGGCGTGTTTGGGAAGCATACCATGCCCGGGAGAGTGGAGTCTGGATATGGGGGATTCCCCAGTTCTCACCCTGCTCTGAGCTTGCTGCCGACACCTTTGCTTGCAGGTCAGTGGAGTTCCGAGACTTCCTGAAGGTGGCCCTGGATAAGAACCCAGAAACCCGGCCCAGTGCTGCACAGCTCCTAGAGGTGAGTGAGTCCCCTCTTTTGGGGTGCAGCTACCATGCTGACCTCTGCCCCACCCTTCCTTTGGAGGTAGGAGGACCCTGGATGGTGGGAGACGAACAAGGTCATCAGTGACCTGGAAGCTGAATGCACTCCCTGCACAGCCCAGCAATGCACTGATCTCAGGGCCCAGCCCTAAGGAATCTCCTGGGTGCTGACGTCTTGGGCCTGGAGGCTCAGCTTGCCATGGAATTTGGCTTCAAGCGGGTCCAGATTTGAGTGAGCAGCCAGAGCCTTGACTGTGGGTTTCCAGCAAATAGCAATAGTAGATGTTCAATAAATACCGGTTAAACAAATGGATGGCTGCAAAGCACAGAAACTCCTTTAACCCAGTGCAGCCCAAGGGGAGGATATGGAAAATACCTAGAGGCATCTTACAGCAGCACATATCAGCCAGCCCTGTAGGAGCTGAAGCTGGAACAGGGTGGACATTTGGTACGTGTTTGTTGACAAGCGAATGGAAAGTCTCTAGGGAGCAGCGCAGCTGTTATCTCTCTCTTCACTCTCCTCAGCTGCTGGGCCTTCATAAATCCTTGAGGCCAGGTCTGGTCAGACAAAGAGAAGCCAAGAACTAGAACAATTATTCCAGTAATTCATTTACAAATGAGGCCTGAATTCCAGGCCATGTTGTTTCTTCCCAGAGCAGTATAGCATAGCAGTTAAGGGCTTGGCTCCAGGGCCAGGGCTGGGCTGGACTCGCTGGTGAACTTGAGCACGTGACTTAGCCTGTCTGGGCCTCAGTTTCCTCATCTGTAAAGTTGTTGTTATTGTTAGTTGTCACTGAGTCGCTCTAACTTATGGTAGCCCCATGTACAGCAGAACATGATGTTGCCCAGTTCTGTGCCAGCTTAACGATCGTTGATATGCTTGAGTCCATTGTTACAGCCACTGTATATTTTGAGTGCCTTCCAACCTTGGGGGCTCATCTTCCAGTACTATACTGGCCAATGTTCTGTTGTGATCCATAGGGTTTTCATTGGCTAATGTTCTGAAGTAGATCACCAGGCCTTTCTTCCTAGTCTGTCTTAGTCTGGAAGCTCTGCTAAAACCTGTCCACCCATGGGTGACCCTGCTAGTATTTGAAATACCAGTGGCATAGTTTCCAGCATCATAACCACATACAAGCCACCATGGTACAACAAACTAACAGATGAGTGGTAGATCTGTAAAATAGGATAACAATAGTGCCTACCTCATAGGGTTATGAGGATTAAATGAGATTGTGCATGCAGAATGTGTAGCGCATGGAAAGCACTCAATAAATTTGTCCACCATTATCATTATCATCATTATCAAAAAACATATGAGATAGTAAATCTTATAAAACCTACAGGCAGTAAAAACAACCTCTTGACAACTTTTTCTTACCTCTGGCTTCTCCCATTCCTACCTTTAATGTTCTAAAACATTTTGCCATCAACACACAATGCTTATGAAATAGCAGTTATTTCCCCAGCTTTTAATTTCTCAAACCTGGACTAAACCAAAGCTAAGAAGTTTCTTGAATGCAATCAAACACTCTGAGGGACAGAGTAGCAGGGGTAGGGATCTGGGGACCATGCTTTCAGGGGACATCTAGGTCAACTGGCATAACAAAGTTTATTAAGAAAATGTTCTGCATCCCACTTTGGTGAGTGGCATCTGGGGTCTTAAAAGCTAGCGAGCAGCCATCGAAGATACATCAGCCATCTAAGATACATCTAAGATACAACCCACCTGGAGCAAAGGAGAATGAAGAACACCAAAGACACAAGGAAAGTAGTAGCCCAAGAGACAGAAAGGACCACATAAACCAGAGACTTCATCAGCCTGAGACCAGAAGAACTAGATGGTGCGTGGCTAGCACCAATGACCACCCTGACAAGGAACACAACAGAGAATCCCTGATGGAGCAGGAAAAAGGTAGGGTGCAGAACTCAAATTCTAGTAAAAAAGACCAGACTTAATGGTCTGACTGAGACTGGAGGAACCCCAGAAAGCACGGCCCCCGGATTCTCTACCAGCCCAGAACTAAAACAATTTCCAAGGCCAACTCTTCAGACAGGGATTGGACTGGACTGTGGGACGTAAAGTGATACTCATGAGGAGTGTGCCTCTTAGCTCAAGTAGATACAAGAGACTAAATGGGCAGCTTCTGTCCAGAGGTGAAATGGGAAGGCAGAGAGGGTTAGGAGCTGGTTGAATGGACATGGGGAATCATGGGTGGAAAGTAGGAGTGTGCTGACACAGTATGGGGAGAGCAATTAGGGTCACATAATAATGTATGTATAAATTTTTATATGGGAGACTAACTTGAAATGTAAACTTCATTTAAACTACAACAATAAACAAAAAATAAAATAAAAAAATAGTTTCTCAAACCTTTGCCAGCCAGAGGGGCTGAAGAGCAGGAGAGGATCTGCAGAAATAGACTGAATGGATGTCATTCCAAGTAAAGGCAAAGAAATGTCAGTTCAGCAAAAATTTAAGGACATTCTCCTGTGCCAGGTCCTGAGCTGATGGGAAAAAAACCCGGGGGTATGAGCCAGGCGCTGCCCTCAAGGCATCCACATCAGTGGGTAGGTCAGTCCCTCCTGTCCACCAGTAATGGAAGAGGGGGACACGCTGTGCTGGAGACCCCAATCAGAGGCATCAGGGACCCAGAGAAGGAGTGCTGGGCCCTTCAGCAGGAACTCCTGGCAGGGATGACCTTTGAGCTGTGTTGTATCAGTTTCATAATCAGTTGCCATCAAGTCACTTGCAACTCATGGTGACCCCATGTGTGTCAGAGTAGAACTGCACTGTAGGGTTTCCAGTGGCTGGTTTTTCAGATATAGATCGCCAGCTCTTTCTTCCGATGATGGACTTGAACCTCCAACTTTTCAGTTAGCAGACTAGGGTGTTAACTGTTTGCACCACCCAGGGACTCCATCGGGTTACTAGGGCTGCCATAACAAAGTACCTTTGTATGGGTGGCTTAAAACAAGAGAAATTTATTCTCACATTTCTGGAGGCTGGAAGTCCAGAATCAAGGTGTCAGCAGGACCACCCTCTCTGAAAGCTTGGCTTCTTTGAAGGGAAAGGTCCTTCTTTGCCTCTTCTTTGCTTCTGGTGGTTCCTGGAAATCCTTGGCATTCCTTGGCTTGTAGCTGCATCACTTCAATCTCTGCCTGCATCTTCACATGGCTGTCTTCTTTCTGTGTCTGTCTCTGTCTCTTCTCTTTTTAAAAAACAGCCTCAGATTGGATTAGGACTCACGCCACTCCAGTGTGACCTCATGTTAACTGATAACATCTTCCAAGACCCTATTTCCAAACAGAGTCATATTCACAGGTACCAAGGATTAGGACTTCATCGTATCTTTTGGGAGGACAAAACTCAACCCGTGAGTCTTGAAGAATAAGTAAGATCCAGGCAAAGAACATTGGGAAGGCTGTCCGAGAATGAGACGACAGCATGAACCACCATTGATTCACACACCAGGCACCTCTGAAATGCCAGCTCTTGTGCTGAGAGAGCTGTGGTGAATGGAGCCGGCAAGACCCCTGACCTCGTGCTCAGTAGGGGGACAGGCAGCAAACAAACACGTGTATGTGCATGTCGGTGCCGATGAGTGCTATGGAGAAAAGTACAACAGCACAGGCATGGGGGTGCCTGGGAGGGCTGATCTCCTGCATAGGTTGTCAGGGAAGGGCTCTCTGATGGGTGACGTATGAGCAGACACCCAAAGGAGGCACAGGAGTGAGGCACAGAATGTGGCAGCCACAAAGGCCTAGGATGGGAGCACAGTTGGCGCGTGCCGGGAGGAACCAGGAGGTGGGCCATGGGAGCACAGGGGTGAGGTAGACCAACTGGGGATGAGGTTGGAATAGTACTAGAGTGTGTCAGAGGCCCCCAAGAACACCCCCAGGTTTGATGATTCCCTAGAAGGACTTAAAGGACTCGGCATATTGTTGAACTCAAGGCTGTGATTTATTACAGTGAAAAGCTACATTATTATAGCAAACGGATACAAAGCAAAATCAGCAAAGGGAAAAGGTGCAGAGGGAAAAGTCTGGGGAAACCAGGCACAAGCTTCCAGAGCCCTCTCCCCATGGAGTCACACAGGACATGCCTCATCTCCCAGCAACAGTTGTGACAACATGTGTAAAACATTGTCTACCATGAAAGCTTGTTAGAGACTCAGTGACCAGGGTTTTTACTGGGGGCTGATCCTGGCATGTACCCAAATTCCAGACTCCCAGAAGGAAAGCAAGTGTTCAACATAAAGTACATTGTTTGTAAAAACAGTTTAGGCACAGCGAGCCACCACTGTCAGTTAATGGTGGAAAACATCCAGAAATCCAAGTTCCCAGACGCCACCCAAGGACCAGCCTTGCCAGCAGGCCTTTCCAAGGGCAGCAGTCTCAGGCCTGTGATGTTAACTCTTTTCTGCACCTGGGGCCAAGTCGTGCGAGGGCCCCGCGACCATTCCCAGGGCGTGGGCCTGGGTGAGGTGGGCACCTATGCAAGGGTGAAGAAGGGGAGACTTCTGCTGACTTACATTTTAAAAGGGCTCTCTGGCTGTTGTGAGTGTAATCAGGGCAAGGGCATGATCGGGGAAATCAGCCTGAATGACGGCAAGTGTCTTATTAGCCGACTGTAGAGGCTTAGCATGGGAAAGTGGATGGTTTCCTTGAAGCTTTTTAGAACACTGATGGTAGGGGGTGAGCCGTCCTTCATCAGGGCAGGTGCCTCATGTCAGGGGCGTCCACCTGCTGGCAGCCACCAGGGTGAGTGTTGAGGTGTCCCCGCAGTGGTCTGAAGCCACACACACTACCCTGCCAGCTGCCCAGACATCCATTGTTCTGTCCCATCACCGCCTCCACTGACAGAGAGGGAGATGGTGGGACTGGGTGATGGTGGGGCTTCCCTTCCACGCCCCTGCCCCTTCGGTCCTTTCACCTGCAGTGACATCCTCTAATGCCGAGTATGAGGAAAGGAGG